GGGGACTTCGGAGGGAGGCATTCACAGGACTGGTCACAGTAGGAGCCCAGCCCAGGAAAGGGTCAGGCCCAACCAGTGTTGCACTTGTACGCCTTGTGGACCCCCAGCGGTTCAGCTCACTTGCACGGTTGAAACCCTCCTTTCTCTCTCTCTCTCTCTCTCCCACCATCTCCTTCTCTCGCTCTGTTTCTTTCTCTATCTGTTTCTACCAGTGCATTTTGTAATTTCAAACAGAACTCTTCCTAAAGAACCTGAATAAACCAGAGAGAATGCATCCTGCCCATCTTCTGGTCCGCTTTGTGGTTCCTCATCAGCGTCTCACACACAAACATACAAATTGACATTTTATTCATGACGGTTTTGGCAGATTCCCTCACACAAAATCAACAACAATGGTGACAGAAATATTGGACTTATTTTAGTAGATTATCATCAGTTGTAATGTCTGATTTCATGATTCTGTTACTAAACATAATAAGAGATACAAGTAGAACATTCACTTATAAAGCTCATTATTTATTGCAGCAGGTCTCTTTTTCATGGATTACACTGTTTCTTCAATTACATACAAATTGTACAATAGGACTGAGATATGAATTAAAATAAAACATTTTCCAAAGTTTGGGGTCCCCTGCTGGAGCTGTTGCCCCCGCGACCCGACCCCGGATAAGCGGTTGAAGATGGATGGATGGATGGATGGATTTTCCAAAGTACATTTGGAATTTGACAACTACGTCTACTTCTTGTTTTCCACCATGATAACAAGTCGGCCTGTAAAATGCTGTTAGTCTGTTTAAATAGCGCATTCTTTTCACTCCTTTTGAGCCTTTTCTCTAATTGCTCAACCCAAAACAAAAGGGCACCATTGCCAAAGTGATTCAGGAAATTAAAAATATTAATTATATAAATAAATACATTTCAAAAACACCAGGATATTTTCCCTGTCCTCCTGCTTTTTGGAGTCTCTCTTTTCTTGACATTATGCTGCAAATTCTGTAAATGAGATGAATCAATGTTGTGCATAATAAACAAGAGTGACTTACATCATCTCTTTAAAGCTGACAACACACACGTGTTTTTGCTTCACGCATAAGCAGCATTACACTGACAATGTACCATAGAACATTGTGGGGGGATGCGAAGGTGGGTAACACTTTAACTAACATTAGAAAAGTAGCACAGGTAGCACAATAGACGTCTACTTCTTCCATTCAACCTGCACTCACAGAAAAACGTATCAAGATGTATTAGCGTGTTCATCAATCTTCATCCCCGGAACACTTGCACAGTGGACGCGTCCTTCTCCTCAGCAGCCAGCGTGAGTGACATCACATGGATCCCGGCGGCTGTGGTCGTGTCATGAGGGGGGGGAGGGGACTCACACACTGAAGGGAGCGGCGGCTCTGGTAAGCGCAGGAGAGACTGTCGGCATCGTCAATGGATCCTTTCGTAAGAAAGAGACGATCCACCCTCAACCTTTGTGGTTCCGTTGAGGTACCAATCGAAGGACGGGCGGCCATGAGGAGCACAGCTGCTGTGGCAAATCAGCTTCGGACCCCCAGGAGACCAGATCAACCTGCGCCTGCACATCTGGATCTGTGAACCATTCAGTAAGAAAAGGTGAGATCCAGCAGCATTGATGTGTTTCAACACAGAACATTCATGGTATGAAGCCATGCATGCAGCTATTACTGTATCTTAGTGAGTAAGGTACATGTTGTCAGAGCATTTGATAGATTTTATTGGTGGTTCCAGGTAAAATGCTGATCCCTTCAGAGCTCCATGCTGTTAATATGAAACGCTACTCGGCTGAATCGTTCTCTCTCAGGTCTTTGATTCTCAGTGTTTCCTCTCTCGGTATCAAGGACCTCAACGCGACCTTCGTCCTGGGAGTCTTCATGAAGGTCATTTGGTTGAGCGAGACGCTTCCAACAACCACCATGCAGAGGGCTGCACCAGAACTTAGATGTGATATATCTAGAAGTCAGAAATGTCCACGGAATGATGACGTCACTTTGTTGCAGGACCTGGAAAAAGAATAAAAGTAGCCCCAAATCTTTGTTTCTTTCATCATCACTTTGTATCCGTTCTTGTACCAGCTGTAGAAGGTTGGACGAGGTCGAGGACGACTGCTCTGACCCGTCAGGTCTGCTGATGTACACTTTCCATAACAAGGTCGTCACGGTTTGGGTTGTTTCCTGTTTTATTTTGTAGTTTTCTGCCCCTCGTGTCCCCGGGTAACTTCACTTCCTACCTTGTCCTGTGATTGTTTCCACCTGTGTCCAATCACCTGCACCTTCCCAGTGTATTTAAGCCCTGTGCGTCTCCTGTCGCCTCGGTGTCTGCATGTCAGAGGTGGTGTCTGCATGTTTGTGGATCATGTGGTGCTTCGTTCCTGGTCCCCGCCTGCGGCTTTTTTTTTTTAGCCGTGCTGCCTGTCGGTAAAGCAGAAGGCCCTCTGGTCTGCTGTGACCCCTCATTGGTTCTGTGGAGGTGTATCTGCAGTGCATCTCCAAGGTGGATCCGTGTAATCCACAGATCCAAGAGGAACCGTAAGTAACTCTGCAGCCATCCTGACCCCGAATGACTGGAAGAGAAACTACAAACCACCATCACTCATCACAGCAGAAGGGGTGCAGGTGCACATCTTTTTCTATAGAGAAAAGGAAACTGTAATGGCAATCTTAGCTTTGCTGCCCCTTTAGCTTGCTTCTTGTTCTTTGCCATCAGGCACAGGTGGGAGTGATGTTTTGACGCAGACACACAAAAGATTTTCCAGCGATGATTGTAGTTGAGGTTTGTAATTTATTGCAGGCAATTGTATAAACGGATGAACATACCGGTTGAACGTGCTCCTATTGATGGAGGTCTGTCTTCGTGGTCTGGTGAGAACTGTCTGATGCTCCCCTACCTGTCCCTCGCTTCCTGTCACCTATGTCCCTTATGTGCACCCAGGTGCACCTAATCACCGCCACCTAGTGTCCAAAGTGTCAATATAAATACAGTGTAACAAACAAAATATACTTTGCCAACAACACATAATGGCCCCTACAGAAACTGAATAGTAATTCGCAGAAAGTAAAATGGTGGTGAGCGGTGCAGAGAAAGAGACAAAGGGGGAAGTGAATCTTTCATAGTATTTTGGTCAATCGTGTTTCTAATAAAAGCCTTCATGGCGACTCAGGCTCTGTGATACAGATATAAATGTGATGAATATGAATGCAGACAGGAGGAAGATGACTGATCCACTCTCAGCTCCTCCGCTCATCCCTCTCTGTTAAAACACGTCCTCCACTATCAGCTGTCCAAGAGAGGGACGTGGGACTGAAAGACAACGTGTGTCTGTATCAGCTGATGAAAAAGTCCTGCTTCCCCTTTAGATAATTACCATGCATGAGCAGCTGGCTGTAAACCCCCGAGTTGAGATGAACAAATGTTCACTGAGGTCTGACACGGAAGAACTACAAGGAAGAACTAGAGAAATCTACCACAATGCAGAGCGTATAAACAGAATAAATATGTGTTTAGTTGACTCTAAATGGACCATAATTTACTAAATGAACATCATGTTGTATTGAAGACTTGAAACTAGAGACTGAGACCATAAACTCATGTTTACTGAGGGAATAAATCAAGAGAGAAGTAGTCATTTCCTCATAGACGTCTATGGGAGCAGAGGAGGAAAAAAAATAACATGCATAGAAAAAAGTATTTTTATTTTTAAAACATTTGCTATTTTTTATAGATACACAAAGCCCAAACATTTAGCTAAAAATAACTATAATTCAGGTTAAGCCACTTCCTTTGTAACTGAGCTTTACTACCAGTGGTAATCACCACTTTGAGGTTTACTTGATCATCTCAATCTTCTCCCACAACACATCTGTTACACATCTGCTCCAAAACCACAGGAGAATTCAATTCATTTTATTTCAAAAAGCCCAAAATCACAATTTACTAATGTGCCTCAGAGGGCTTTAAAGTCTGTACACATGCGACATCCTCTGTCCCCAAACATCACATCTACACAGGAAAACCTAAGGGAAGAAACCTCAGTGAGAGCGTGAGAGGAGGATCCGTCTCCTGATGGACAGACTACGATGACGTCATGAGGACAGAATGAACAACGTAATACCTCAATGTGACAGCTTCAGTCACAAATCAACATTAGCAGATTCTGCGTAATAATACAAAATACAATCAACATGTTTACGAGAGGCGATAACACTCTTACCCTAACGTCCGTGTCACTACTGTCTGTGTTGCCCCTCCTCCCTTGTTTTTCCCTTCAGGTGCCGATCTGCCTGCACCTGAGTTCCTGAAGAGAGCCGCCAATCACCTGAGGGCCCTGCTGTTAAAAGGGAGATCTGGAGCAGGTGTTCCTTTAGTTGTCATGCACGCACAAGAAGTGCAGGTTTGTGGTGAGAGGTTGAGGACAGTTGGTACGTTTGTACCTTGAACACGTGTGCATCACGTAGGGACTCCAGGTTAGTGGTTGGTGCTCCCTCTGTATTTTGATGGACGTTCTTAGAGAAGTAAGGGAAGCCAATTTGTTTCGTTCTAATTCTTTCTATTTCTGTTATCTTAATTTCCATTTTGTTTGGCACAACCACAACTGCCCCACTTAGTAGAACCTCTTGTATTCTATTATCTGAAACTAAATCTTATTTAAAACCGTTACTTTAAAACTGAAATAGAGAAGTCCCCTCGTCCATATGACCATCAGTAATGGTTCACAGGAGGCTTCTGCCTGCTCCTTCTCCAGCTCAGCCCAATCTGCTGTCGTACGTGATTGGCTGCACATTCAAGCCGCCCCACCCCCCCCCCCGTGACTCGCTCTGATGGTTGAATCTGAGATCCCTCAGTGACCTGATCGATCCCTGTTCACTTCATACTACAGTACATTCAATGATCAGACCTTTGGCCTAAAGCTTCCTCACAAACGTAATAATAAAGCATCCATCATCTCATCATCTAATAGCAAGTAAACTTGACACATCTTAGATCATCACATCTTAACCATTATGTTTAACTCAGTTCTATATGATCCAAAATCAGAATATTTGCCTCGCAGGGCTGTCGTACAAACTTTGCTCATCTACTACCTGACAGGAGAAAAAACCCTTTGGAATCCATCAAGGACGGCAATTAGCATCCGTCTCCAAGTCTTAACGTTACATTGTAGCAGGTAAATGTGTGCAGTAATTATAAGACTATAATTACTATGAATTGGGTTTGATTCATATTGCAGTCACTTCATCTAACATGCTAATGTAATAACTAATATCTAACACACAAACTACAATTCTACCCTAAACATTTCTACATTATCATTTCTACCACTAGGTGCTTAAAACACTCTGAAAGTCCAATTCAGCCATTTTAAGTTGAGACAAGTTCTCATGCAAAACAAAAACTTCAGTAAACATTATGAGAATCAATAGAAGCATATTGGCAATATTGGTAAAGACTATTTACAGATTAATGTACCTGAAGATGCTTGTATAGAACTGGTAGTAACATATTGCTGATTAGTAACATTTAAAGGCTGATTACAGACTACAAGCTGGCCTCCCATTGGCTCCCTGATGCTTCTCTGATGGAAGCCTTAACGATGGTGAATATACAACATGTCAGACCTCATATTCATGCAGGTGTGTTTAAGCTGCTTAAACTCTGTACAGTAACAGACCACATATCTGTGTGGGTTCATTCTCTTGGTGCTTTGCTGACGGTGCTGTACAGAGCAGAAGAATCATCCACAGCTCCTTCACATCTCCGTCTGTGAAAGAACCGTAAACTCAGAATATTAATAATTATCACGTTCAAACAGCAATAAAACAGTGATGATAAAAATAGAGACGGATCCATATTCAGTAAAGATTGTCACTGACTCACTCGCTGGCAGCACCAGAACTCTCAAAGTTGACACGTGAGTACAGAACTTCCTCCACCTCCTCCTTGCGTCTGGGGGGGCGAGCTGGACTGACGTTGGAGTAGAGAAGAAGATCCTCCTGGTTTCTGGAGAAGCTTGCGGTTGCATAGCAAGGCTCCGCTGGTGGGATCTGCATCAAAGAACAAGAAGTACTTATTGGATAGTATTGTTGGACTGAAGTACAAAGGCCCAGATAGTAGAATATCTGCAGGGCTTGTTCTCTAATGACTCCTTTGGGCCCTACAGGTTCTCATGGAGGTCTCATGTGTTTAATGGTTGTAATTAAGGTCATTGAGGTTAATGAAGTTCCATCTACAAACTGTCATCGTGTGGGAGCGACAGGTGGTGTCTAGATGGTTTGAAGAAGAACCAGGACGTAGAAGTGGGCTGAACTAGAGGGACCTGACAAAACCTCCCGGTGGGCCGGTTTTTACCTGGAGTTGAACTCCCAGTGTTGCTGGTAACTTTTATTTCCTAATTTATATGAATTTGTATTATATTTTAATTGTTGGCTTTTAAATCCCCGGCTCACAGGCCTGACATGATGATCCCAGATGTTCCCAGATGTTCCCAGAGGCCTCCTCACCTGAGCGTTGTTCTCTGGTCTCTCTGCAGGCCGGCTGCTTGGTGGAGACTTTTTTCTTCTGGACAGAAAAATGTATTAATGAACAAACAGAAGATCGAATCAAGTGATTCAACGACTCCTTGAATGTAACATCTGTCACGGGGTGGAGATTGGAGACAATGCATGTTTTATTGATTGTGTATTTATTGATTTATGGATTGCATATTTTATGGTTTATGATTGCATGTTTTATGACTTATTGATTCATATTTGTTTGCATGTTCGATATAACGATGTATTGTGTGCATTGAGTGTTGGTTTGCATTGTATCCTCAATTAACAATCGTCCCCAGTGACATGTTACCAATTAGTGGCATATGCCCAATGGACCAATGGGGAAAGGCCAGAGGCGGAACTTTTTGAAACAGGAAGACGGGACACTGGCAAGAAAAGAGAAAGAAGGCAGAAGGGAGCAGGAACACACCGCAGTGTTGAGCGAATGCAAGAAGCAGCAGCAGCAGCAGCAGAGGGAAGCTGGCAGTCAGAGACGTCTGAACCGGTGGACTAAGGATGCGCAGGACTTCGCTCTACTGTGGTGGTGAGTTTGGACGGACTATTTTAGCTTCCTTTATATATTTTAATCATTGTATTAAAATAAATATTCTTTCATTAGTATTTCTGCCCCTGTCTCCTCTTGGGTCATTGTTTCACTGCTCTCCCCCAAACAAACAGACCTTGTTTTTAATTATTTCGGGTTCCTAGGGCTCTTCGCTTTTACCTGGTGGCGTTGTTGGCAACACACTTTTAGTTTTTAAGAAACCTCGGCTGCTGACACATCCATATCTACATTTTATCAGTGAAGTTTAACCGCTTACCTGATCAAGAGGACACTGAGGATCATGATGATTACCAGGAAAATGGCAGATGTGGACGCAAAAACAGCTGTTGTTATTGGCCATGGGGAGGCTCCTTTTCCTACACGGTAACGAAAACAAACAACAAATATATAAACTACTAAATGTGGAGGATGAATTAAGGACCAACAGGATGGAAATAAGATGTTTAACTCGGTGAAACAGAATATCTGCGACCTTAAGATCTGCTCTATGCAGATGATGAACTTTAACTCAAATTATATGTGAGGAGTAAGTCTTCAAAACAACGTAGCTGGATGGCAAGAGCGGCGGCCATTTTATTGTGTCCTGTTGTCATGGCAACTGTTGTAGATTGTTTACTGCTACAGAAACTAAACACACTCCGTGAGGAGATGATTTGGAGACACAATCCAAACCCCCAATATACTGCTTCTAATACTCAAAGCTGACTAGTTAGCATGCTAGCTAACTGTTGTGTTGCTAACAGCATTGTGTTTGTTCCAGACTCGTTTCTCTTACTGAGCTGCTCCTGCATTCTTACAGCTACAGACTCTGTTCAGGTATCAACATCTTCAGCTCTTCTAACGTGACTCTTCTTGTTCCTTCCACTTCTGACTTCATCATTTGATGAGACGACGCCGCATCAGACCACGTGATGTCTGCAGGACGCTCAGCTGGTGAAGCTTTAAAGTGATGAACCGAGGGTCCAGGGTTTGATTCTCAGTGGGGTCATAGTGTATCTGCTCAGGTTCACCTTCTAGTCCACAATGCTCTCCTGCTTCACTGAGTGGAGGACAGGAGCTAAAGGCCGCGTTTACTGTGAGTCACTTCTTTAGCTGGAATGTTGATGTAATGTGTCAGTGAACAGAAGAATGAGTGTGATTTACCTGAAGAAGTAATCAGACGTAAGGTGGAGGTACTACGTCCCATCTCGTTCTGGGCTTCACAGTAATAATTCCCACTGTGTTTAGCTGTGAAGTTAGTGATGGGGAAGATCTGTCCTGATGCTCGTGGTGAGTCTTCATGCTCCTTGTACCAGGTGTAGTTAGCTGCTGGGTTAGCATCAGTGCTACAGGTCAGAGTCACTGAATCGCCCTCCAGCATCTCAGCAGAGGGACTCACTGACACAGAGGGACGCTGTGGACCATCTGGAGGAGACGTGTCAACATATTGTTACAAGTTAGAGTTCAATAAATAGACGTTCATAACAAAACACTACCTCAGTAGTGATTATGTTGCTTTTAAAAAGGTTGTTTCACTCACATTTCACACGGATCAAGATGAATTCAGACGTCTTCCTCCCCAGCTGGTTCTCAGCTGTACAGAAATACCATCCAGAGTCAGAAGACTGGATGGAGCTGAAGACCAGATGAGGTTCTTTACTGAGAAGATGAGGGTCTGAAGTTTGATGCGCCTTGTACCAGGTGTATTTAGCTGCTGGGTTAGCATCAGTGCTACAGGTCAGAGTCACTGAACCGCCCTCCAGCATCTCAGCAGAGGGACTCACTGACACAGAGGGACACTGTGGACCATCTGGAGGAGACGTGAATAAACATACTAAGAGGTTAGAAGATGTTAGCGTAGATAGTTGATCATTTGAATGAATACTTGTGTGTCTTTCTCTCAGACTATCTCTATTATTCATCACAGCAGCTGTCACAGGTGAGACTCCTGCTGGTGTAAAGTGACGATAAGCAGCCTTTAATCCTTTGTAATGTTCATATCTCCACACATTTTTCTCTTTAGATGCTGCTTGTGTCCTTAGCTGAGTCTGTCCTCTCACTTCTAGTTGTTGTAGGAGTTATTGATTGTTTCCTCCACCAGCTGACACGTCACTTCTACTTATGTTCTGGAATAATTCACTTGAGTCTTTATGAAAATCACATTATTCTGTCTGCTGATGGTTTATATTTGTGTTTCTATTAATAAGAGAATGACATAAATAAAGATCTGTGTCTCCTTTAACATTTAGACTCCAGTGTGTTTACAGCTGTGATTAGAATCATATTGTTGTGTCAGTGTGTGAGTGACTCTTCTACACGTAGACTGCAGGGGCCGGGGATTGAACCAGCAACCCTCTGGTCAGTGGACCACGGCTCCACCTCCTGAGGAAAGTTGTGCTTCATCTTTTAGATGCCTCTAGTTTACATGCAGCGGTCTGGTGCCTCCATGTGAGATGTTGTTGAAGCTCCACAGGCCGACACAGTGGAGTGAACTTACACACTGCAGGAGAACGTTGACCATAAGATCCTCTGAAATAACAGGAATATCTGTCTGTAGAACCAAAGGAGACTAGAAGAGAAGATCCTGTCTTGAAGTACTTTTCATTCTTGTACCAGACGTATTCAGCACGATCAGACAGAACACAGCTGCTGTGACACGTCAGCTCCAACCAGGTAGAATTTAATCTTCTCACCTGCACCTGGAGACCTGAATCTGTGAATATTATTTATTAAAGTGTCAACATTCACAGAAGACATTTATACTCTGGTTTCATAGATGTTGAACATTTGGAGATGATTAATATGTGAATTAAAATGTTACCTGTGACAGACAAAGTGACTCCAGGTGAACCAGTATATTTCTCTCCTGGTTCGTTTGTCATGAATGTGAATTTGTACTTAGCTGAGTCGCTCTCTCTCACGTCTGTGATGGTCAGATAACATGTCTTACTATAACAATCATACTCCACACGGCCTGAATACTCAGAGTCTGTTCTCAGAGCCACAGGTTCACCATCTTTCTCTTTAGTGAACCAGAATCTGTCCTTCATATCAGAGTGACGTATTCCAGGTGGGGGTGTGATGTCACAGGTTATATACACTTCTGATCCTTTTGCAGCACAGACGTCAGTCTGATCGTAATTCACTCTCCATCCATCCTGACTCTGTATCACTGTAACACAGCACATCAGGAACCACAGTCACACTCAGAACAACATCACAGGACACACTCTCATTGGTAGTTTACTGAAGAGAAAAGATATTATGAGAAATATGAAAATCATTGAGTTTATAGAAAGTAATGAAAGAGTCCACGATGTCCACATGGACTCTGCAGCTGGAAGGAACAGCGACATATTGAACCTGTGGACCTGAAAAAGCTCAAGTTGAAGTATTAGAAGGGCTTGGTTGGTGAGGAGAAGAGTGTCTTTGCTCTGTGCTCTTCTGTCTGTGGTCAGTCTGCTGCAGAGTGGAGATGGAAACTGTAGAGAAATGCAGAACTCTGAGGGGAACGATACTGTGACATATAGATCACACCTCACTGAGGACACGGCGCTCAGCATCCGGCAGTGAATCAATTATCTGTGACACGGATCAAAGCTACAAAATGTCCCTCAAAGAGACACTGAACACCCAGGAAGAGAATAAAAATGACCACAAATACACAATAAAATGCTCCAAAAAGAAAGACAAACGTTGTCAGAGACTCGGAGTGAATAACAGCCTCTAAATGTGGTCTAATGCAAAGAAACGCTGCTGAACGATTAGAGGAAGTTCAACAGAGACAAATTATTCAGAGCATTTCTTCTTTGTTAATGTTCATTTAGTCATTGTTTGTGTGTGATGACATCAGACCTGTGTGTGAAGTAAAAACACAGCTCCCTGTGTGTGTGTGAGGTGTGTAACGGCCTCACAATATAAATGTAGAAGTACAGTACCTTGTACAGAGAGAAGGAAGACGACTAATCCACCGGCTGATGGACTCATAGCTGCTCCTCTGTGTTCAATCAGCAGATCAGAAACTCTTTATTCAGTAAGTCACCAGAAACACGTCTACATTAAAGAGGAGGCTGATGTCTCTGAGGTCAGCTCGTCTCTTCTGGAGTTGGTAACAAGCTGCTGTTCAACACCCAGCAGAGCTTCCTTCCTCTTTCCGTCATTAGTATGCATGAGCTGCAGAACAAGAAGCTGCTTTAATGTTAACGTCTTACTTCTGCTAAAAGGAAACATCATAAAAGTGTTGTTAATATGTGAAGATCATCTTCATACGTCTTCCTCACATTCACTGCAGGACAGAAACAAAACAAACAAACTGTCAACACACACAAATGTTGGTTTACTCATTCATTGTTTGTCCAAATATTCATACATTTCCATTACAACATAAAAGTGCCTTTTGAGGACAGTGTGTAGTGTTTAGTGACATCTAGTGGTGAGGTTGCAGAATGCAGACTTCTCCCTTTACGAAGTCATTCAGTTGGAGATAAACAAAGGCTCCAGGTGACCATATGAAGCGCTCTGTTAAATAGAAGCTTCTTAGTGATGAAAACAGAGTCTGGCGGAGAAGCTGGAGCCGGACGCACGTCGATTAATGCATAATAGAGACCTGTGACATAAAGACTGTTAAAACGCCACGCTGTTTTCTCGTCTTTCCACGCCCCAAGGACCGCACGTTACAGTGGCGCCCAACGTGACTCGGGGATAGAAACGGCGGTCGACAACCACCAGCAGGGGATGACAGGCCAGCCGATTGTGGCGCTCAGGTCGAATGATCGGCGACCTGGCGGCCATCCTGAGGGAGCAGGTGGACGCCAACCGGCAGTTCCTGAGGCGGCACAAGGCCCAGGTGGGGAGACAAGCCCAGGCGCTAGAGCAGCTGGCCGCACCGCCCACGGCTGTGCCGCCGACGCAGTGGCCCGCGGCTGTGGGAGAGTGGCCCGTCCGGCTTTTGCCTCTACTGGCCGGGGAGGCGCAGACCGCAGCCATGGGGCTGCCTCCGGTGGAACGGCGCGTCTACGACGACATTAAAAGGGCCATGGTGGATAGACTGGAGCTTTTGCCGGAGGACCACCGCCGGAGATTTCGCGAGGCCAGGCTGGGCCCCGGGGACCGACCATTCGCGTACGGCCAGCGGCTGAAGGACGCCGCCGCAAGGTGGTTGCAGACGGTCCACGGCGTGATGCCGTGATGCTGGAGCAGTACGGGGAGGGGCTCCCGGTCCGGACAGCAGCGTGGGTCCGGTGCCACCGACCAGCGACCCTGGAGGCGGCCATCACCCTGGCGGAGGACCACCTGGCGGTGCATCTCAGCGGGCAGAGTGACCTGGAGAGTCCGCCGGCGTCGCCCGACCAGGAGCTGCACCGCGGGGAGGGAGGCCACCGCGGCCGACAGAGCAACCCATACCGGCTCCACGGCTGGCGCCTTTTTCCCCAGGCCGCGACCAACCGGCCCCGCGGGACAGGGGGACAGGTGGGACAGGTGATCCGGGTCGCCGGCGCTCTGGCGCTTTCCCCCGATCCGGGAACGACGTACCGCGTTCCGGTAAGAATCCAGGGGGGTACACGTCAGGCGATGGTGGATTCGGGCTTTACGCAGTCTATGATTCACCAGAGCCTGGTTCGACCGGGTGCATTGGTGGAGGCAGACCGGGTAGGAATACGGTGTGTGCATTGGGATGTTCACGAGTATCCTGTGGTATCGGTGGAAATTAGCCATGCGGGTAAAAAGCATAGAATGAAGGTCGCGGTCAGCTCCTGCCTGACGCACCCCGTCATTTTGGGTACAGATTGGCCGGGGTTTGGTAAGTTAATGGGCGGGGCTACGGGAGTGTGTTCACGACCGACAGGGTTATGCGAGATGTGTGCTGTGCTCAGCGGTGACGCGGGGTCGTCCGACGCTGCAGACGGGGAGGGGGAGCCCGCAGAGCCTCCCGTAGAGACTCCGCCGTCTCCCGAGTTTCGCTCCATGCAAGATTTTCCACTCGAACAGTCTCGTGACGATACCCTACGCTCAGCCTACGACCAAGTGATACGTATTGATGGTCACCTGGTGCGCCCTGACGCAGCGCAGTCATTTCCGCACTTTTCATTGATTAGGGGCAGACTGTATAGAGTGAGTCGTGACACTCAGACGGGGCAGGAAAACGCTAGACCGGATAATACGCTTTGTGTTAGTTCTCGTGGATTACGCAACGCGTTATCCGGAGGCAGTGCGATTGCGCAATGTCTCTACAAAGAGCGTCGCGCAGGCTCTGTTTCAGGTCATCTCCCAAGTTGGAATCCCTAAAGATATTCTGACTGACCAGGGCACCTCGTTCATGTCGCGCACACTGAGAGAACTTCATGGGTTACTGAGCATTAGGTCCATTCGTACTAGCGTGTATCACCCGCA